AATTATTATAGATTATCTGTTAGCAGAACCAGGAGGCATTTCTATAATAGCTAACACCTTGTGTTGTACTTGGATAATTGCCACTAAAGTAGTTGAACTGAGCTCAATAAAAATAAAGTTCAAGCAAATTGGCTACAGCAAATGTCATCAGTAAATAAGCCATCTTTTGACTGTTGTTGGTTACCAGAAGGAATAAGTTTTTCAATCAGAGTTTTATAAGTGGCATAATTACTGTATTATTGTTCTTGGTTATTCTGTTTAAATTTAAATGTTTGTCTCAATGGTTGGAATGAGTGCCTCCTCTACCTTCTTGCCTGATGTTGGCCCCGATTCCTTTAACCTTTTCTAAATATCCAGAAAGGACTTGTGGCACCTGAGACAATAAGCGTGAGTATGAGCCTGAAAATTAGCTCCCAAGATGCCGCATTTGAGGTCAATGGTAGACCAAAAGCACATGTAAGCTGTCACCCTGGCATTGAGGGACAAGGTGAAACCAATGCAGAACTAAATGTGTATTCATACTGAAGGAACCTAACCCACTCACACGTGGTCTTCCCTGGGAGGAATACCTTGATGAAAAGCAGAAAAAGTGAGCTTAGCAATACTTCAGGCTTTTGGACTGCTGACTCCATGTTGTACTGTCGATAGACATTTAAATCTATAAAGAAATTATGAAAAGCAAATTACTTTTCAAACGTCTACAATCCAACAATGCACAATACTAGGACACTGACAATCTGTAGGATACTGTTTTTATACTTTTTTCTTGCACACAGATGTAAATTCCTCTTCTGTTAATGATAAAAGATTCTTTGTTCAACCAAGCAATGAAACAATCTGACAAACAACTTATGTAATCTAAATAAATTTTTTTATAACTGTAAGTCCTCTTGTTCCTCTTGGATGGTGCAGTCTCTGACTGCTACCCAGGTTGCAACTACTACTCCTACATAAAAGCTTTAATTTTCTCCAAAAAAGAAAAAAAAAGAAAGCCTAGTTTCCAATTAAAATCCACACTCTTTTCAGCACTTATAACCCATTCTACTTTCATTTATGGCTTGAATATTTTTATTTTGACAGCCTTAATTACTGTCCTTGCTAATGACGATGGCCCTGGAGTTCTGTCATTTAACAACAGTGAGCACTTTTTCCTGAGAGAACCAACAGCTCTCTACATACAGGAGAGTGTTGCAATATTGTACATTGTTCGAGAACCAGCACAAGGACTGTTTGGAACTGTGACAGTTCAGTTCATTGTGACAGAAGTGAATTCTTCAGTAGAGTCTAAAGATCTGACTCCTTCCAAAGGCTACGTTGTTTTAGAAGAAGGTGTTCGTTTCAAGGTACAGTATGAAACTTTAATGAGAATGGAAGATTATCTTTAATATTCTCAAAATAATTTTTTCTTAGAGGAGCACCGTAGGTCCTAGAAAGAAGAAAAAATACTCCCAGTTTAGGTACTAGGTAAAAACATAATTAGATTACTGCATGACAAGTGCTGTAGGGTTATGAGGTCTGTATATAGTGCACCTGGACAAATTTGCTATTAATAGGATAGAGTATGCAAATGATAAAGAAAATAAACATATTGGTATTTAAAATTTTTTTTTTCCTTTTTGTCTTTTTCCGTGTCCGGCAACGGATGGCAA